TACAAATGTTGGTATGGGTCGCCATACATTTATGGAAGGAAACACACACCAAGAACCATTCATAGCCACAAACACACAGATGTCCAGACAGGTTTATACATTCACACATGGCCACCCATCCGTGCCGAGAGCTCCGTCTGTGAGCTCAGACACGGAGGGATGCCCGGGCTGCTCTCCATACATTTATCGAAAGAGACAAACACCGGGTGTCACACACACAAACCCGTCCACGTTGACATCCACACACACACACACACACACACACACACATCCGTGGGAAACCACACACAAGGGAGATGACATCAGTCACATGGACCCACCAGCATGGTGAAATCCCCGCGTGCTGAAAGGGAGGCAGGGGGTGGGGAGTGCCCGACGGGGGTCGGAAGGCCAGGCTTGGAGAGTTGGCTCCAGCACTTACTTCCCAGACGCCGGCCCCCTCGGACGAGTCCCTTCCCCGCTCTGGGTCTCAGTTTCCTGCTCTGTAAAAGGAGAATGCCGGCCTAGCTGACCTCTAAGATCCCTCCCAGCGCTAGAGCCTACGAAGCTGGCCAGGTACAAGGCGGGCGCCCCCCGGGCCACGGGGACCCCAAGCCGGCGGGGCCAGCGCAGGGGAGGGGAGCCCGGGCGCGCCGGTCACCCCCGGCCTCCCAGTGAGGAGGGGGCGGCGGGCGCCCCCCGCCCGCGCGAGGGAGGGGCCCCGGGGGTCGGCGCTGCCCCGGCCCCGCTCCCGCAGCGCCGCGCACTGCGCCCGGGGTGCGCTGCCGCGCCCGGGGCGCGCGGGGCTGCGCGGCGCTGCCTGCCCTCTCGGCGCTCCCGCCCCGGCCCCGAGCCTCGCCTGCGTCTTGTCGAACTGCTCCCGTTCCGCCTCCAGGCTGTGGCCCGGCCTGCGGCTCAGCACCCGCGCCGGCACGTTCTTGATCGTGTTCATCCTCGCCGCCCGCGAGCTCCGCGAACGCCTCGCCGACCCGGAACGGCCCGTCTGCTCCGGCCCCGGCGCCCAGCGCGACTGAGAGAGCGCGTCACCCGCACGGCCACGCCTCCCCAGGCCCCGCCCTGGACACGCCCCCTCCCGGGCCGGCCCCGCCCCGCCCCTGAGCATCATCAGCACCACTCCTCCTTCCCAGGGCTGGCCAGCCCCACACCTGATCAAGAGCTCCGCCCACTCCCGCCTCCAGCAATCAAGCTCTACCCCTCCTTACACCTTCCCCACCCCCCACCCGTCATCCTCTAAGTCTATCGCCTCCCCTTGACCCTTGGACCTCAGGCGGACCCCTTCCCATCTTCCTTGCTCCATCCCTGCTCCTTAGGTCTCCTCAGAGCAGATCCCCTAGCTTCCTACTGCCCTGACATCGAGGCCATCCATCTGTCAGCTCGTCCCCTTCTTCTCCAAAGGTCACAGAACTTCAGTCCCTACCAGGGCTCATTCCTGCACCTGCCCCCTCCCTTCCGCATCTCATTTCTCTTACATCTTCCACCTCCCGCGGGTCATCCGTTTACAAGTGACCTCGCATCTCCCCAATACTTAAAAAACAAAGGTTTTCCGTAACCCTTCGAGCCCATCTGTCCACTCTCTTTTCCCCATTCCTTTCACCCCACAAACAAGTCCACCTACAGCACTGTTGCTCAGTCATTCAGTCGTGTCTGCCTCTCCAGACCCTGTGGACCATCATGTCCATGATTTTCTTGGCAGCGGCTTGCCATGCCCTTCTCCAGCAGCACTAGCCATATTCCAAACCAGGGGGCTTGCTTTCTTCCACCTTCCTTAGACCTCTCATCTCCCATCAGTTAGGAGGTCCTGCCAATTTCACTTCCCCAACCTCTCTTGAATCTGACCCCTCCGACATTCCTGTCGATTTGACCCTAGTCCAGAGGCAATATAAGATGGCTGGTAGAAGAGCTGCTGACTTTGAAGCCAGGAAGACCTGGGTTCGGGTCCTGCCTCTAACATCTGTGATCTTGGACAAATCTGCTGTAGGCAACTCTCTAAAACTAGAAGTTGCAGGGAAGGTGGAGGCATGCATTCATAGAGAGGAATTTCCTCATCTGGGAGTTTCCAACAAAATCAAGATCCAGGTCTTTATGAAGCTAGTACATTTAGTCATTACCATGGCCTTAATTAACAGTAATATCCTCCTCCTAGGTGAGCAGCTGGGTAGCGCAGTGGAAAGTGTTCCTCCAGATCTGGAGTCCGGAAGACCTGAGTTCAAATGTGACTTCAGACACTTCCTAACTCTGTGACCCTGGGCAAGTCACTTTACCCTGTTTACCCCAGTTTTCTCATCTGTAAGATAAGCTAGAGAAAGAAATGGCAAACGACTCTGGTATCTCTGCCAAGAAAACCCCATATGGGGTCACAAAGAGTCAGACATGACTGAACAACCACAAAAAAAGGCCTTCCTACTTTCACATTCTCCCCCCACCCCCCAATCCCAACTTTATTCCATTAGCAAAATAATCTTTCTCACTCATAGTCCTGGTCATGAAACCACAGATTTTCAGAGGCCACCCCATCCAACCTGTACCTGATGGAGCACCCCGTCCTCCACATTCCTGATAAGTGGCCACCCGGCTCTCTAGGGATGGGAACCCCACCCCTCTCAAGGGGCGCCCATTATATTTCTAGACAACTCCACTGGTTATGACAACACCTACTCACCCTTTAGAGTCTGACTCAAATGTCACTGCCTCTTCATGCCCATCCTGCTCAAACATCACCATTTTGTAAGTCTCTAATGGTTTTATGTAGTATTGTGCAGTACATCTCAGCTAGGCAGTGAGCTGCTTGAGGGCAGGGACTTGGTCATCTTTAAATTTTTTATCACCTGACGCTCCATCCCACTGCCAAGCACAGTGCCCCGTACACAACAGTTACTTAATAAGTGTTTGTTATAAGGTTATTGTAATTTCCCTCTTCCCTGTGCCAGGCAAGAAATGCAGCTTTCCCCATGGTGGGCAGTAGGGTCACTGGATTTCAAGTCAGAGGACTTGGGTTCAAATCCTGGCTCTTCCACTTATTACCTGTACTTGACCTCCTTGGGCCTCGGTTTACTCATCTGCAGAATGCCCAGATGGCCTCTATACTTATCTGTGCACATGTGACTATCTTAACCCCCAGCCCACTCCTCAGTAGAAAGTAGAAAGTATTTTTTTACATCTTTGTATTCCTATTTCCCAGTATGGTGTGTTTCACACATTAACATTTGTTGAAATGAAATAAAATAATTGGTCTGGCTGGTGCATTAGCTGGTACAGGACATACACCCTCTTGAGAGTATACTTAACCAAGGACCTGGAAAGTGTGAGCATCTTTGAGACTGATCTAAGCACCCTCCCAGTGGCTGATGGTCAGTCTCCCATATCCAAAGACCACTTTGGCTTTCAACCTTCCTTCTTCAGGTGCTGCCTTGATGCACCCAGTTTGCTCTGCTCCCCATCCCACAAGATGATTCTGCTAAAGGCTTGGAATAAAGAACCTGCTCCCAGTGGATTCTGAAAAACTCACCAAGCAAACAGCAGCAGGACTGCAAAATGGCTCTGTGCAAGACCCTGATGATGGGAATGGAAATTCAGAGGCGAGTGTTTTGGGGGGGAGGAAGAAGGAGGGGTGAGCAAGGAGAGGAATTCTGAAGAACAGCTGAGCCCCAGTAGCTGATGGGCCTCAAGCTGAGGTCCCTAACAGCTCAGGGTCTACCTCACCTTTTCGTTTGCCATCTACCACCCAGACTTTTCCAGCCCTAGGCAGAAGTGCTTGTAATCTGAAGGCAAAAACTATTTTTGGCTCTTATGTGTCATGGGCTTTGATTTCCCTTTTTTAAAAAAAAAAGTCTTTTAATTTCTGTTAAAAAAAAAGTGTTTCCATAAACTCCAAAATTACCCTTAGAAGAGAATCTCATTCAGCAGCTGAGATAATTCCTGGCTGACGAATAACTGAGCAAATAAATCAGTAACCCTCTCTCATAGCTGAAGGTTGTCAATGACGGGAATGTGTGTTAAAATACGGTTTTAAAACACAACTTTGGGGCCATTTTTATAGTGTGAGGATACCACCCCAAAGGTTCCTTTCCAAAGCTCCTGTTCAAAAACAGGAACTGCCCCCTAGACAAAACCCAAAAATAAAGGGAAGGAGATTGCTCATAGGTTGTTCCTGGATAGGTGGTGGGTAAAGGTGTTGGTGAAGTCACCTTATTATGCATTCAAAGGCATCACTGGAACATCATCCCGTGGGATACTTGGTCATCTCATGCTGGAGGGTCCACACTAAGTGTTTGCAAAAAGGCAGCCATGAAAAGAATTGCAGATGATGTTCCAAAATCGCCTGTAGATAATATGAGAAACTTAAAATTTCTCCTATTTGAACCGTATGGGAGTACACATGCACTGCTAAGAAGGGGTCTAGAATCTGTAATCATATGATCTAGAAAAGAACTCCAGTCTCCAATCTCCCAGCCTCACAAAGACTGGTCCTATTAAAACCTGGTTCCCCCAGAGTTTCAAACCCAGCAAATCAGCAGTGTTCACTCCTCATTAGGCAATCTGGTAAGGAGGACGTCTGTTGGAATCTAGCCTCCCCCGGGACATGTTAGGTTTCCTAACTTGGCAATCTTTTTATTCTGAATCAAACTATAACTTTTCAGTTTCACCCGCTCCAAATATAAAGTATGCATTTATAAAGAACATATGCAAACCCCACCCCATTTCTGCTTTCAGTACCCTAATTAGATAGGCCAAAAGGGATGGGTCCTCTAGACTCATGAAAATCAAATGACATAACACAGAAATCTTTTTTTCTTTTTAACAAAGACGAACTTAGGTGAGCACAAAGGAAAGCTGTCTCTTGTATGTTGGTACGGCTTTAAAAAATAAATCCCCGCATTCCTAAGCAAAGCTGCCGGGCCAGGCCTTTTCTTAATAATGGAATGCAAGTGATGGGCTGCTCCTAGTTTGGAAAGGGAGTGAGAGGGCCTAGGGCCACCACTTTCTTCTCACCTCCCTTGTCTGGGTCTACCCACCAGCCTCCCTAATTCCACTCCTGTACTATGACCAAGAAGAGACTGCAGAAAGGTCATCTCTTTATTGTCAAAAATCTTTTCATTGAATGCAGCTGTTGTTTCTCTTTGATGAGACAGATACACATGGCATATTTTTAAAAAATAAAATGACTTTGCAAGTTAAATACGGTACTGTTCTCATTCCTTGGAGGTACAAAAATTAAAATACCACACATAACAGTTGCTCTTCTAGTGAGCTTTTGGTATACAAGGGGACCCAGACTAGAGGAGGGGAACTGCTCAGCTCGGTTGTTTTTTTTTTGTGGGGGCTAAAGGACATCAATTTTCAGTTACTCAGGAAGTACTTTCCAGTTAAAAACACTTCGCACATTATTTCATGTCTATTTACATCCCAAAATACAGAGCCAAAACAACAAAATAATAAGAGAATGCCATTTCTTAGGCATTTATAAACTGACCCTGGTAACAGACCAGTAAAAAATGAAAATGCATACACAACCAAGAAAAAATAGTTCAGACAATTCATCAAAAGGGAGGAGAATTCTGCACAATTATCACCCATCTGTGGGGCTCTCACTTTGACGTTCACGCTTTCCCAAGACTTCTCCAACATTTAGCGGGAGGGCATCTTTACACACGAGCCATGTTTTTCTCAGCATAATACCAAGTTTGGTTCCACAAATATATACATATAAGGCCTGGCATCTAGATATGTAAATCTACATACATGTACATATATGTATTTGACATTTGGAAACTACTAACTTGACGACATTTCAAAATACAGGTGTTAAGAACTGGTCTTTTAGCCTCTGGAACCTTTGGGCATTAGCTGTTTTTTGCTTATGAAGAATTACAATCCTCTTCTTTCAAAGTAAGTATTATGCAAAGATGTCTGCTTCCTTCCTTCCAAATAGACAAGAAATCTGCTTCTGTCGGGGAGGAAGAGGGAAGACACACACATTTAACAAGATCAGTAAAAAGAGAATAGTGATGTCTGATTCCCCACTGTCTGTGAAACGTAGCTCTGCCTCCTGACACAGGCAAGGCCAACCAGGGGTGTGTGAAAGACCTCCAAGTCCCCTTGGTTGCAGAAGAGAGGGCGGCTTTGTAGGAACCTCCCGCCGCCGGCCACCTCCAGGAAGTGGAGCTGGGCTCTTCTCTCCTTTCCTAAATGGGTACAGATCAGAACTGCACTATCATATGAGGGATTTTGAAGAAATGAAAAATTGCTGACACCAAAAATCAATGATTTGTTAGCTATATCTCAAGTGGTTGTGCTGACTTTCAGAAACTTCAAAAACCTCTGAACAAACTAGCCCATATGAAATTGGACTCCAGAGAAACTCTATATAGGACCATTCGGGGCGGGGGGGGGGGGGGGGGAAAGGGCCCGGGGGGAAGGGATCATGGCAGAAACTCCAGCTATTGGGGGGAAGGGTCCAGAGCTTATGACCATGCCTTATTAATCCTGTAACTAAATATGAAAGATCTCTTTCCATTAAAGGGGAGTTTTGAAGAGGCTATTTGTAAACCACTGATTTTGAAAGATGTTGATATTCAATCATATTAGAAAATGTCTAGGACTTAATCGAGTGCCTACTTTGCTCAAGGCAGTGTGTTGGTATGGCTTGGGGATCCAGGTTCTGGTTCTGGCTGTGACCTTGAGCAAATTATTCTGGCTCTCTGGGTCCTAGTGCCCTCCTCTGTAAAAGGAGGAGGCTGGGCTAGGTAACCTCTAGGATGTGTTTCTTATCTAACACTCAGCAATAACTGAGTCACAGCCACACTTACTTAGTCCCTGAAATGTGGAAGGGGCCGGTTGACAGGTAAAGGTGATGTGAAAGAGAAGGGGCACAAACAAAGTCTGGCCTTGACCTTTCATTATCAGTGTTCTGAAGCTGCTTAGGAAATGTCACAAGATAAGCAGAGGTGACTTACCCATGATCACCTGGAAAACTGCACTCAAGAGGTGTTTTCTTCAATCACTGGCAGTGGCATTTTGTGAGCTGTCAGTTCGGAGAGGTCCGTCTACAAAAGAACCCTTCAGTCAGTACTCTGGACGCACACAGGAAAGCAACCAAATTAATCAACCAACAAGCATTTATTATTAAGCACCTACTATGTGCCAGATCTGATGCTGGGCACCAGAGGGAGATCACCCCTGCCCTCAAGAAGCATACATTCCACTAAAAAGAAAGGCAGGTAATTGCCTTAGCGAAGGGACCAATAAGGGGAAATTTTTATCACGGATCTGATTCTCACTAACCAGGAAAGACCGGCTACCAGGACATGAATGATGGGCATATCTGGAGGAAGAGATTAGCGTCCTTTAGAGGAAGTCAGCCCAGGAGGGGAGGGGAACGCCCAGGAATCAAATTCTGAAGATACAGATGGAGTAATTCCCAAAGGAGGGGGGAATGGGAGGGGTCTAAAGGCACCAAAGGGGATGCAAAGAGAACTCACCAAACTCACTATAAGAAGAGACATACAGAAAATGGAAGTGTGTTTGGATCAAAAGGGAGGATGGCACAGAACTAACTCTGCTGCCGGACTCCTACAGCTCAGGCTGAAAATGGTGCTGCTGCAGGAAACGAAGAGTCCCAATAAAGATCTTTATGGCTACATGGGGGAAAGAGGAAAGAGGAGGATCAAAGGAACAGGATGGGCAAGCAGTGGCAGGGGTGCAGGGGTGCAAGGGATGACAACAGAGAAAAGCAGCAGTTGTTCAAATCTCACTTGCTTCTATTTTCTCTGCCAAGGAGAACGACCAAGGAGAAGAACCAAAATGGCAAATGGGGAGATGATACCCAACTCAGGTAAAGCTAGTTGTCCTGGATGAATCCAAGGCAGCTGAACTCTAGCCTTGGGCACTGGTAATCACTCGGTCTGGCTGATGTGATGGCTGTGATACCAGAAGAAGTGAAGAGCACTTGGCAGGTACTACAGGACTGGAGAACAGAAAATCTCCAGATTTTCAAAAGAGGAAAAGAGAAGAGCCTGTAGACTCCAGACCAGTCAGCTGGCCTTTGCTTCCTAGGAAGATTCCAGAACAGATCTCCAAAGAGCTCACAAATGAACACCAGGGTCCCAAGCAATGGTTTTGATGACAAACTGGCTTCATCAAAAACAGATCACACCAGAGTAATCTGATTTCCTTCTTTGACAGGGTCACTAGACTGGACTAGTAGATCAGGGTAATTAACATCTTAAATACACTTTACCTATACTCCAGTTAACCTAATGGTAGAGCATCTCCTACCATTCTCGAGAAATGAGGCAGAAGAGTGGACTAGATGATAATACAATTAGAAGAATTCCAAACTGGGGGGTGGAGTGGATAGAGTGGTAATTAATGGTTCAAGACCCATTGCCTGGAGCTGGCCAATGGAGACCCTGAGGTCTCAATGCTTGGCTGTGGCTTGTATAACACTGTTAGCAATAATTTGGCTAAAGGCACAGTTTCATGAAATCTGCAGATGGCACAAAGTTGAGAAGAATAGATGACATGGTGGATAGCAGCGTCAGGGTAGACCAGATCTCAACAGGCTACAGCTCTGTGCTAAATCTAATAAAATGAAATTGAATTGGGATAAACATGAGTCTTACACATGGATTCGGAGATTGGCCTTGATGGGTATAGGATGGGGAGGCCTGGTTAGACAGCAGTTTGTCTGAAAAAGATGGAGGGGTTTTCGTGGCCTGTAGGCTAAACATGGCTGCCAAAAAAAAACCCAGCCTGATCTTGGGCTACACTGAGAGGCATCCCCTCCAGAAATAAGGAGGTGATAGTCCCTTAGTACTTTGCCCTAGTCATACTACACCTTGAGCACTGTGCTTATTCTGGGCACCACCGTTGAGGAAGGACACTAATAAACTGGAAGTGTCCAGAGGAAGGAAAAGCAGGCTGGTGAAGGGTCCTGGGACTGTAACCTAGAAGGATGATTTGAAGGACCTGGAAACGTTGAGCCAAAAGAAGAGAAGCCTCGTTGAGAAGGACAATGAATGCTGTGTTTGGGTATCTGAAAGGCTGCCACCGAGAAGAGGGATCAGGCTCCAGAGAGCAGAAACAGCAGCAATGGGCAGAAATTGCAAAGAAATCAATTTAGGTCCAAAGTAATGAAAAACCTTCTAGGGGCAGCTAGGTGGCACAATGGATAGAGCACTGTCCCTGAAGTCAGGAGGATCTGAGTTCAAGTCCAGCCTCAGACCAAACACTTGACACTTACTAGCTGTGTGACCCTGGGCAAGTCACTTAACCCCAATTGCCTTAAAAAAAAAAATCTTCTAAGAATTAGAGTCATGCACAGATGGAACAGGTTGTCATCCCCAGGGGGTGAGCACTCCTCGAAGGTCTCTAAGCAGCAGTTGAATGACCCCTCATTAAGAGTTACAGAAAGGACTCCTTTTTGGGTGGGGGCTGGACAACAAGTCCTCTGAGCTCCCTTTCAACTATAAAATTCTGATTCTGTGATTCTACCACTCAATACAAACAGTTGAAAACACGCTCAAGTGTTGTCTTTTTTATTCAGATTATGTCTCATTTACTAGTAGGAGGGAAGGAGGGAAACAGGCAATTATGCACCTGCCATGTGCTAGGCAGTTACCCGTTTGCCTCAGTTTCCTCATCTGTAAAATAAGCTGGAGAAAGAAATGGCAAACCACTCCTATATCTCTCCCCAAATGGGCTCTGGAAGAGTCAGATAAGACCGAAACAATTGAACAACAATGTGCCAGGCACTATCCTAAGTACTTTACAAATATCATCTCATTTGATCCTCACCACAACCCAAACAAGTAGGTGTTATTATTATCCCCATTTTATAGATGAAGAAACTGAGGCAGCTGGGGATAAGTGGCTTGCCCAGGATCACAGGTGGTAAGTGCCTAAGGCCACATTTGAACTCAACTTCCTGACTCTAGGCCCAGTGCTCTCTCGCCTGAGCTACCCAGATGCTTCTAATGCTCTTTTAAAAGAAAGCTAATCTTAAGGAGTTAACAGAATTAGTTAATCACAATTCACTCTGAGCAATAACATCCCTTGAGTTTTAATCTGTTTGTTTTTTTGAGGGGTGAGGGAGGGTTCTCAAGCCACTCTACAGCTGTCACCAGCTGGAGTGCCCAGCTCTCAACTCAACATTATGGCTAAACTATATGGAAGTCATCCACTGTCCCAAACAAATCAGCTCTTTGCCAGATTTAACCCATGCTATTCTGAGAGACCTCGAATGAAGACCTTGCCAACAACTTAATAGACCACACAACCACTATGCTAGAAACAACATGGTGCACAGTTCAATTCACCCACTCTCCACGGCGTGCCTATTGCAGGCCTGGCACTGTCTTGAGGGGCCATGGAACAGATCAAAAAAGGCTTGCACAGGAACACAGATGCAGGGGTGGAAGGGTTCCCAGAGGTCTTCTAACCCAACTGCCTCACACAGTTCCTTCCTCCTAAAAGCTTTCAGTCTCTTGGAGGAAATAAGGCTTAAGCCCATGGACCATGACAGTGCCTGCCCAATCTACTAGTACTTTTCTAATAGTTCTTGAACAGTCATTCACTTGCCTGCCACAGACACCAGGGAAGGCCTCTTCTGCTAGCAGAGACTAGCTATTCCAATCATGGCATCGTGGGTTTTTCGACTACCAACAACCTGACAGATCATGGTGTCCAACTCTCATTTTACAGATGGAGCAACTGACGACTAGAGGGATTAAGTGACTGGCTCAAGACTACCCCAGGAGCAAATATCAGGGCATTCTGGGGCTGAGCACAAGTCTTCTGAGTCCAAAACCAAAACTGTACTGTGCTCCTGGCCCCCTTCAGTATTAATATCTCTATTTATATAAGAACATTATAACAAACAGTAATTGTTACTAGGCAAAGATAGCCAGAGAGATTGAGTCCAAGTACTGAGAAAGGTATATGAAAAAGGAAAAACAATGATCTTCAATATGAATTTGGAAATATTAAGCTATTTCAGGTTGTCAAAAACAAAAACAAAACCAACCCAAGCCCAAGGATTTAGAATATAATTTTGATGGGGCGGCTAGATAGTACAGTGGATAGAGCACCGGCCCCAGAGTCAGAAGGACTTGAGTTCAAATCTGACCTCAGACACATAACACTCACCAGCTGTGTGACTCTGGGCAAGTCACTTAACTCCAAATGCCTCATATTAAAAAAAAAAAAGAATATAATTTTGAAACTGAAAGGGATTATCTAACCCAACCCCTCATTTTACAGATGAGGAAAATGAGATTAAAAAGCAGTTACGTGACTTGTCCAAAATCACACAAAGTTGCTAGTGGCAAAAGCAGGACCAGACACATCCCTCTGATGTAGACACACCATTTAGTTAATATGATGGAGGCTGCAAAGCAATGGATATTTTTCCACTGATATATTTGATGTGCAAGAAAGGATGCAAATCAGCACATAAAAAGTCAATGGCAAAGAGGATGCATTTGTTTTGTTTTGTTTCAGCACAATGGGTAGACCCACTGTGGGGAACTTTGGGGAGAACATGGACAAGAGTCCCTGGGGATGGGCAGGCATGGACAGCTTGTCATCGGCAATGACGGCGAGAATTTTCAAACCAATGAGATCACAGATCCATTTAAGTCTATTTTTAAGCTCAACTGGAAGGAAGAAGAAGAGTAAGAAGAGACAGGATTGCTATGGAGAATAAATGGGCTAATGATAATGAATAAGACAGAGATGACAGGACTGCCCAACTCTTCTGCCAAGAACAATGATCTTCCAATCGGGAAAGAGAGAACTGAAGGAAACTGAAACCCATGAGACATGAGGAGATGGTAAGAGAGGGCATCACCTCCATGCCCCTCAGCGAGTACAAGTTGCCAGCCCACGGTTAGTGAAAGTGACTGCCGACTTAAAAATTCAGGTGGAGCAGGGGAGAAAGCAACATAAGGTAGTGAAAAAGAAAGCACAGCTAGCTCTGCCATCCAAAAAAGGAAAGAGAACTCTCCAAACTACAGGCTGGGGAGCTCCATCTCAATTCACAAGAAAATCTGAGAATCAACAGAGCACCTTGTGAGCATTCAGAAAGGGAAGAAGTGATCACTAAGAGCCAGCATGGTGCCATCAGTAATAAGTTATGCCTGACTAACCTCATTTCCATTCAAGAAAAGGTAGCTCCACCAGTAGATGAGAGAAAGGCTTTAGACAGAGGCATATCCAACCAGAGCAAAGCCCCATTTTATTGGATAAGCTTAACAGAGGTGGGCTAGATGATAGCACAGTTATGGAGATTTTGAACTGAATGAATAAATGGCTGCAGAGAAAACCTTTAACGGTTTGGTGTCAGCTTGGAGGGAGGTCTCTAGTAGAATGCCCCAGGGATCTGTCCTGTTTACTTTTTTTTTTCCTTGCTTTTTGCTAGGCAGTTAGGGTTAAGTGACTTGCCCAGGGTCACACAGCTAGTAAGTATTGTGTGTTGTGTGTCTGAGACTGGATTTGAACTCAGGTCCTCCTGACTCCAAGGCTGGAGCTCTACCTACTGTGCCACCTAGCTGCTCCCCCCCTCTTTTTTTTTAATGAATGCCTTGAGTGAAGGCACAGAAGACAACTCTATCAAATTTAACAAGACATGCTCAACTAGGAGCAATGGCTGAAAATGGCAAAGTGCCAAATTTAGGCCTGATATAATGAAACATTTCATTAACAGTTGGAGTTATGGGGGAATGGGCTTCCTTGAGACGTGCTACGTCTCCCCCTTCAGTAGAAATCTTCAAGCAAAGGTTGGCCGGATGACTAATTGGGTGTACTGTAACAGATCATGTATGGATCTGTACTAGATGATCACTGAGGTCCGTTCCAACACTGAGACTCTGAGACAACACTGAAAATCTGTGAATGATAAAATCAGGATCCAAAAACATCCCAGCAGGAAAGAATTATGGGCCAAATCAAGTAAGATGGAATTTAAAATAGATAAATGTAAAGTTCTACACAAAGATCCAAGAAATAAATAGCACAGGTACATTATGGCAGAGGCATGACTAGAAGACAGTTTTATAAAAAAAGGACCTGGGGAGGGAAGGTTAGTGATTTCCCATCTACCTCAGTAGGAGTCAAAGGCATGATACATCAGTCAAAAGAAAAGCTGAGAGAGGCATGTTGAAAAGGGATGGCACTAGTGCCACTCACCTCTGCCTTAGTCTACTACAACTGTGTGACAGTATTCAGTGTTGGGTGAGAGCCCTGATATGTGGATGGCTGAGCAGGACAGTGAGAGTACTGGAGATGACACCACATTAGAAGCGTTTGAAGGAACTGGCTATGTTCCGTCTAGACAGGAGCAACCACAGGATCCAGGGTAGCTGCCTTTCAAGTACGTGATGGACTGTCATGGAGAAGTGGGATTAGCCTTGTTCCGCTTGGTCCCACAGAGGAACAGCGTGGGGAAGTTGTGAAGAGACAGACAGGCTCAATATAAGAAGAAACTTCCTGCCAAGGTGATTCATCCAAAAGTGGAATGCACTGCCTCAAGAGGCTTAAGGGGTCATTTTGTGAAAGAAGTCTTATTTTACTACACTGCCCCCGCCCCACATGTCCCATTAAGTATCACACTTTGGAAACAGTTTGGAAGCAGGGGCATCTTTTAGCTCATGCACCACTCCCTGCACTCTGCAGGCACATCAGAGAAGCTTTTCATGCCTCCCCAGAGATCAGCCGGCACCTTTATACTTAGTAGCATATTCAGAGAGTATAAACTTAGTTGAGAGAAAAATGAACATACACTGTTGGGATTGCTAGCGCTAACGGGGAGCAGAGTGCTAAGTTCCAGATTAGTAACCATCTCTCGAGATTCCGCCAGCAAGCGCTGAAGCTTACTTGTGGGAGAACAGTCATCCTGGAAGACATAACAATTTTAACAAGCTAATGAAATCAAGAAGCATTTGAAAATAGGTTTTTTGTGTGAAAAGGAGAGCCATCAATGAATAACTCTTCGACTTCCTCAGCAGCACTGACAAATATTATAAACAAGTTCCTTTGATCTCTTTAAGGCCTATCCAACTAAAATAGTTTCCTATTACCAAAGGCATACTGGTGCCAATTAATTAGTAACACCCATACATCAGATTCTTGAGTTTTCCCTGTCAATTCTTCAGGTCCCTAATAAGTAATGTTAGAATACTTTCGACCTGCTACTTTCCTTTGGTACCTGTGGTAGGAAACACTCAAAACTGTGCTGCTATCCTAAAACATGTGATCATGAATGCCAGTTTGTCCTATTTAACTGGCTCCTTCCTATGCTGAATTTTCACCACGATAATGAGCCATTTCCAACTCTTCTGAAATGCCCTTAGAGCACACACAGTCTTTTCTTTAAAGTACTTTCCCATTCTTCATATGCAGAGACCATCTGTATACGTGTGATATCATGCAGGGTCATGAGTCAGCACGGCCGGGGTCAGAGGAGAAGCCCAAGGAAGGCTTCTGAGACCCGAAAGGATCGTTGGAATCCCATCTTTCCCCAGGCAGGTTTATAGCTGAGATGTCCCAGCCATACCCTCTCTACCAGGTTCAGCTACTCTTCAGAACTATTTACTTTGTTTTCCAAGGAGGTAACAGTGTCTATCATCATTCCAATAAGGAAATGCTCTTTAGATCTGGCAACTGACCGTCACTGAGGTCAATCAGTTCTTGTCAATTTTATCTTAATTCTATCCTAATCCAGAAAAGAGACACAGAGTTATTATATCATCAAATGTAATGTAGCCCAACTGTCTGAATCTTCTTGTGAAAAGATTAGGAATGGATTTCTGCAAAGGTTCCCTCCACTCTTAGACGTGCCTGGGGGAATGAAACGTTGAAGGGAAGTGGTTTGATAATATTGAAAGAAAAGAGGGATGTAGGAAAGTGACTCTGATTTCCTGTTGCAATTCTGGTAAAACACGTCCGGTCTCTGTGCTGGATCCTCATTAATGCCTAGAGCTGCAAAAAGGCAACACAAATGTTAAAGGCCTTTAGCAGAAATATTCTGGAAGGACACAAGACATGATGGAAAGCCACAAAAGGCTGTGCACATCTTCCTTTGTATCTCTGTACCTCCATCCCTTCCTATCTCTCTGAACTCATTAAAATACTGAATGCAAAGGGTTTTTTTTTTAAATGCATTATTAATAGTCAACAAAAACAACTCATCTCTATATTGCCCCTTACAGTTTATAAAGTATTTTCCTCACTCCCCCCTGGGAAGCAGGTAAAATTTATTAAATGGAATTTAATTAAATGAAATGTTCTTAATTTAAATCTCACTCATAGACTTTTAGTCTATGATATTGCTTAAAATGGATCACAGAACATACTAGAGCCTTAGAGGGACCTTAGAAATCACAGTTGCCTATTTGCCACAAGGAAGGGTCCCAGTTGAGGGTGGGGTGAGGCTGAGTTAGTGGGAAATGAGAGAAGTGCAAGAAGAGAGGAAAGAGCGTTAATAAAACAAGAGAAAATGCCCGAAGAAAAACAAAAGGTCAGAAGGGCAGACAAAGAGGACAACTTTCCTGTTACTTTGTCATATTTAACACACACTTTAAATAATCAAACTGTATCCAACAGAAGGTCACTGTTTCATGGAGGTGCAGTGGACACAGAGCTGGCCCGGGTTCAAGCCCTGCCTCTGAGATGTCCAGCTGACTGACCTCAAGTAAGTCACCTACTTTCTTTGTGTTCTAGGCACTTTAGTTTCAGAGAAGGTGCCAATCTGCATTGATGGAGGGAGTTTTCTCACCTTTGAGTTCTCTTATCAATGAAATTCCTGGCTCCAGTCTCATACATTCCTCTTTTTTGTTCTTTGTATATTCGAATTTTTGTGCTTGTTGATCCATTTTGATCAATTAGCTCACAATTTAAAAAAAAAATTTATAAATCACAAAGTCCGATGCTTTATAATTACTTTATAGATAAGGGCAAGAGACCTCCACAGAAGACATGACTTGACAAGGTCACACAAGTAGTAATTAGTAGCAAAATCTGCACCCAGTTCCAAATCCAGTGGTCTTGGTTTCTACTTGTCAACAATGGAAAGTCTCCTACATCATCATCAATGTGCAAATCAAGGAAGACAAGGCACATTACAAATTACTAATGGGAGGAAACTAGAATGTTTGCTCTCAGAAACCAATTTTATTCCCCTTGGTAAGAAGACTAAAAAATAAGCATAATAAAGAATGCCTACCATATTTAGTTTTATAAAATAAGAGTCATAAAGAATGCCCATCACTATTGATTTTAGTAATTGACACTAAAATCCATATAACTAGCATGTTCACTGTTAAGAACACCCAGGTTCAATGACAGCGTCTTTTGGGGAATTTGATTTGGGAAATTAAATGTTTTAACTTTCAAAGACCATTTTAAAAGAGCCTCAAGTTCCTAAAATAAAACAAACATCAGCGAACCACTGTACTACAGAAAGGTTAAGGGCCCCCTGGAATTGCCAGTTGTGTCTAAATCTTCATGTCATTCCCTGCCAAATACTAACGTGATGGAAGCCAGGGTCTGGGCCTCTGTTGCTCGGTAAAAATCCAGATGAATGCCTTTTATCTGAAGAGCAATCTGTGAATCTCTCCTCATTCTTTGTTGAGTACTTCATATTAGAGGTGCCCGTTCGGTGGGAATGCCAGAAGGCAATTGGCGTGCTGTCAATAAAATACAGAAAACCCTAATGTTAGCATCGCCATCATCATCATCACTAGGTTTGCAGTGAAAGTAGTTCTCCAGGACAAGGTCCCATGTTAGGCTGAAAAACAAACAAGCCAATTTCAAGAAGGAGCTCAGATCAAATCCTACTAGCATTGATCAATATTATAGAAACCCTTTTACAAGTAAGAATCCAGATACCTTACTGAAACATGCTTATACCAACCAGAGTCTTTCAAAAGTAAAAAAAAAAAAAAAATTAAGTATCCCAGGCAGGGTCATCTAAGAGAATAAATCATGAGAAATAAATAGAGTTAACGTGGTTATAAAATTCTGCAAACATTTATGAAGCCTACTGTGTGCAACAAAAGGTACCGGAGGTAGGGGAAGTTGCTGGGAGTTTTTGCTTTGTTTTGTGGGTGGAAGTAAATCGAAGTTTTAAAAAAATGCCCACCTCGTGTTTTGGATTCACGTCCCCAGGCCTTTCACTAATGGGGGGTGGAGAGAGACTGCACTGGCACACTTGGAGGAAGGCCAGTGGAACAGAGGTAGCCCCCCGCTTCCCCTGCAGGTGACATTCAAAGACTCCCAGCATGTCAGACCTGGAAGGGCCCACTGCTATGTTCTAGCCCGGAGGAGGCCCCAAGAGGGCCAGGGATCTGGACAAGGTCACACAAGCAGGACTCACAAAGGCAACAGTGAGCAAACACTGTAGACACACTTGTGGCAGTCTAAGATCCAGGGAGAAGCTGTGAGAAATGATGAACTGGGAGAATGAGGAAAAACTTGAGAAGCCTGACATGAATGGAGGAAGAGTAACACACCCAGAACCAAGAGCATGATGGCCATAATGATCAATTACCAACATAATGATCACAATAATAACAATTATTGACATAATGAAACAACAATGAAAAGATTTTGAGACTTTTAAGTAATGCAATGACCAGCAGTGACTACTGAGGATTTGATGGCAAAGAATGCCACCTGCCACTTCAGAGAGGTGGTGGTCAACAGGTGCTGAATAAGGCATACATTTGCAGACACGGACAAAGTTTTGTGTCTGTTTAGCGTAACTGCCAGACAAGGGAGGGGTGAGAAGAGAGGGTTCTATTGGGAATAACTGGGAAGCAACAGTGATATAAATAAAAAAAAAAGTATACAGAAAAGGTTTAAAATGAAAAAAGCGGTCAGCCCTCCCAGGAAAGCCTTGTGCAATAGGCAGTCGAATCAGTCCCGTGCAGGCAGCAGAGGAGCTGGCTTCCCACACTTCAGGGTGGCCTTAAAAGCCCTCACTGAAATGTGGCTTTCTCCTGAAGAAGCCTGTCTCCCTCTTCGGTGCTGACCACCAGCCCTCCTCATAGCCTAGCACAAAAGGCCAGAAGGGGAGTGAGCCCTGCTGCTCTCTGGTCCTCCCTGACAGACCTGGGCCTGCATCCCTTGGCAGCCTGGCTCCATCTGCTCCTATCACCCTGCCCTGGGCTTTAGGGATCTAATCTCCCCCCACTCACTCTTTCTCCTTCCTCAATTAATTCAAGACTGCTTGACAGTCTCCCCCCTCCCCCCACCCCCACCCCATCCCACTCCCCATCCTCATCTTGGGCAACAACAATACTCCCATCAATACCCTGTCCTCTCCTTAGTTCAGCCTCCTCAGCTGATGCGCCCTTCCTCTCCGCTGCATCTCAGCCGTCCCAGAGGAATCAAACCTTTGACTTTACAATCATCCTAATTTTTCCCAACTTCCCATCTCATCTATGAGATTCCCTCTCCAAGCACAGGCTCGTGCCTTATCTTGGCCATGACTGCCAGCTCCTCCATCCCTGCCTGATTCTTCTGCCACCACTCCTTATCTGGCATCACTACCTTCTCCTACTCCAGACTCTTCATACTACTCCCCCCTTTGAGTTCCTTCAGCCAATCTTCCCTCCTGGGCGGCCTCCCATTGCTGCAGGCTGCTGTCTTCTACTCCAGGGCTACTCAATATTGCGTGTGTATGTGTGGGGTGGGGGTGGGGCGGTGTTATGTGCCAACAAGGCGTACTACAAATTCATGTCATCTGAACTTCACGGGGCCCTGACTGCCAGAGAGCAATGCACTTATCCATTGATTGACTCTCTGTCACACTTCCCAGAGCTGCTGGTGCAATGCTTCTCCTTTCTCCTTCAGTGCCTGGCTCCATCCCAAACCCTATGAACCTCAGCAGTTGACTGTGTTCTACTTTGAGATCAGTTCACCACCAGTTCACCTCCCCAGCATTCACCTTCAAACCTTTCTACATCTTCACTCATCCCCAACTTTGCACCAGTTCAAGAAATGTGGCTCTTCTCCTTCCAAGGGCAAATCCCCTCCTCCTTCCTTCGGGAGCTCACCCCATCCTTGGTCAACCTCTCTCCTTCCTTTCTTTTCAGTATTTCCCCATGTACTGGTCCTTCCCTGTGGGCCACATAGAGTCAGGTCTCCTCTCTCCTTCAGAACCTTCCTCACAGGGCCCCTGACAGCCCTGCAAACTCTCAGCCTGTTTCTTCTCGCTTTCACTGATCACCTTGAAGGAGTCATCGACACCTGCCTCTGCAGCCTCTTCAATCCTGCCCAACCCCGCACTCCTCGACCCCAAAGTCTTCTCTCACTTCACCTTTGAACAGCTGGATGCAGGTGTTCTCCCGGCTGTGTTCTTGAACTTTCCACACTGACACTGATGCTGGCTCTTCTAGATGCTCCCGCCTGGCTGTCCTTTCTCCATTTCCTTTGCAGCTTCATGCTCCTCTCACTCCAACTTAGGCTTTCTTTGCTTCCCTTTCTTCTCCCCCCACTTCTCTCTCTCCCTCTTTCTCTCTGTCCCCCCCATTCCTCTCTATTTCCTCTCTCTCCTCTCTCTCTTCTCTCTCATTCTCTCACTCTCTCTCCGCTCTTTCTCTCTCTCTCCACTTCCTCTCTCTCCTCTCTTTCACATTCTCCTCTCTCTCTCATTCTCCTCTCTCTCCCTCCCTCTCTCTTCCCCACCCCGTTCTCTCTCTCTCCCTCTCCATATTTCTCTCTCTATCTATCTCTATCTCTCTTTCTTTCTTTCTCTCTCTCCTGCCTCTTCGGCCTTAAATGCCACTTTTACCTAGACAACTCCCACATCTACCCAGTCAGCCGCAGGATCTCCCTCCTCCACGGACATGCCTTATTGTCACTTTAAGCTTACCATATCCAAAATACCAAAAATGTAACTCGTCATTTCTCACCTAAGTGTCGCAGATTTTAGAGCAGGAAGGACCCATTGAGACATCTAGTTCAGCACCCTCATTTTATAACCAAGGCCCAGAGAGATGAAGAGAGCTGCCCAGGACCCCGGTGGAGGCAGTGTGTGGCAGAGCCCTTCAGGGTTCCACTCCGAAACCTGCCCCTTTGTCTCTTCCCTCCCCTACCCCCACATGCCTTGACTGGCTCAATCATGTCCATGCCCGTGACAGCTCTCTCATCTCTCCCTCTCCTCTCCAGCAGCACCCCCTCCACGTTTGAGTCTCAATCACCTCTTGCCTAGAACGGTCGAAGTACTTTCTAACTGACTTGCTCTCAAGCCTTTCCTTCATGACCTCATACAGCTGCCACCATCATCTTCCCAAGGCCCGGATGTTGCCTCCAAGAGAAAACAGAAACTTCTCAAGCGGCCATTTAAGACCCTCCACAGTCAAGCTCCAACTTCCCTTTCTAGCCTTATTTCACACTATGTTCCAGTCACACTGAACTACCTTTACCTTTCAGAATTCTGATTTAGACCTTTGATGCTCAGCTCAGGGGCCACCTTCTCCAGGAAGCATTCTTGGACACCTCTCTCCCAGATAAATTTTAGCTCCTCCAGTTTCCTTATCTGGATCTCTCTTCCTCCATCACTCCCTATGCTTTATTATTTACCTATGTACCTTTCACATTCCCCTCTCCCCGCTCCCCCCCCACCACCACCAATAAAGTGTAACTTCCCAAAGTCACGTCAAGTGGCAGAATGGGGATTTGAACCCAGGGCCTCTCTCCTCCAATACTAAATTCTCTACTAGCACACACATCTTGAGGAGACTCTCAGACCTTCATCAGGACATTTGTTTTTAATTTACCAAGCCCGCCCCTTCATATTAAGGCACCCCATTTGAGCATTTGAAAAAGAAGCTAAATAATTTCCACTGACCCTCTTACACCATTTCCCTCCTCCAGGCCCCCTCTCTATCAACCTCATAGAGGTAGTCATGTTATAGCGGATTGAAGGTCGGACCTGGAAGTGAGGAAAATCTGGGTTCAAATCCCACCTCAGATTCTAGCCATGTCACCCTGGGCAAATCAATTCACCACTCCGTGACTCAGTTTCCTTATCTGTAAAATGAAGGGGCTAGATTTGTACCTTCCATTCATATTACATATAGTCATTTGCATGTTGTTTCCTCCTTTAGAATGTAGACTACTTGAGGGCAGGGACTACATTTTTTGCCTTTCTTTTGTATCCCCAATACTTAGCACAGTGCCTGGAACATAACAAGTGCTTAATAAATGTTTGCCGATCAACTGACTCATTTAAAAGCAGAAATTGTATTATTTCTGCATCCCTAGAGCTAATACTAATGCACACAGAAGGGGCTTAATAAATGTTTCTTGAATGAATTTTATATCAAAGGTCTCTCTTGGTGTTTTAAAATTCTGCCTTCTGTATACTATAGGCATGAATAAGATAACCACAAATGGCAAACAAAGGCCTTAAAAAGCATTTCTAAAGATTGTAGTTGTGTTTATTCTGCGTATTTGCCAATGGGACACAAAATTTACCTTTTGAGAGGATGATACTTTATTCCACAGACACTCCTTGAACACGTGCAATCAGTCTTGGGTCGAACAATTCTCTCTACTTTAGAAGGCTTGAAAATCCTCATCCACTCCACATCAGAAATGGAGTTCCAGCCTGGGGCTTCGATGACGAAGTTACTTGGGTGGCAGCATTTAGATTCACAAATGTCTGAGTCACTCAAAGAGCCTTCATTGAACTGGGAATAGGAGGTTTCAGCCACCTCCATCTGCTCATGACCTTCCATTTCCAGCCTTTCCAGCTGCTTTGCTCTTGACATGCCTGGGTTCACAAAGATGTTGAGATCACAATGCTTGTGATCGGGCCCTCCAAAGTGGTGGTGGTGGTAGTAGTGGTGCTCCCGGGACAGGGCCTCGCTGTCGCTGCTCTTGGCTGACTTCATACTGCTTCTGCCCAATGTACTTCTCCTTTTGGATTCAACCAGGGGCAATGTATTAAACTGTACTTTCTCTTTTAAGGGCAGGGGCCTTTGTCTTTCTAGCCCATCTTTGGCAAAAATGGCTGAAGTTCCAGGACCAGTCTCCTCTCCATACACAAGGTTAACTCTCTTTTCTTCTTTGCCTCCATCATAACCACCCTTTTCTGGCCTCCAGTGTTGAACCTGGGAGGCCTCGATTTCATGATCCTTAGCGTATATCTTCTGATTTCCCTCTCTCTTAATGATGCTTTTGGGGGTGTTACTTTCGAGATCTGAGAAACTCAATTCTCTGCTACAAGGATATTACAAAGAACTATGTTTATGATACATATTTAACACCATTACTCTACATATTTCATATGGACCTCATCAATGCAGATACATCTCTAAGATGACTTTTGTCTGAAATTCATATATCAAAGCCATGCTGAGAAGGGCATCTTTCATGGTCCAGCTCCAGGCCCCAGAGGCTCCATGAAGCCCTCCCTCAAAGCTCTAGACCAGATTGACCCAACTTCCATTGTGCTCACAATTGTGCTCAACATAGTTACCTTCCTCATTATTCTATGATTACCTACACTATAAAATCTAGAGTTTCATTAATGATTGTTTTCAGCATACAACCATGTAACACTGTTTCATGTGTGTATGACTGATCTTGCCAATCACACTGAGTTCTTCATGGGCAAGGACCACATTTTACATATTTAGGTTTTGCTCAGGGGTAAATGTAACTGGCACAAGGCATGGCATGTGGCATGTGGCAGCTACTTAACTGGCTGAATGATCCCCTACTAATCTGCTATTGCCTTGCCTAATGCTGTCAGTCTCACAGCAGAGAATTCCTGTCAATCAACAATTCAAACAAACCACATGTAAAGGGACAGTCCTGGAAAGGAAGAAGGGAAGGAAGGAAGGAAGAAAGGGAGCAAGGAAGGAAAGAAGAAAGGGAAGGAGGGAAGGAAGAAGGAAGGAGAGAGGGAGGGAGGGAAATCATTATTGAATGATAACATTAGGGGAATAAAAGTAAACTGAGAAATATAAATATAATTTACAATCCATGCTATCAATACTCATAAAGGTTAGGCACATATACTCTTCCCCAAAGTGTATATTTGAAATAAAAATATCATAGAGACCCCCACGTGGCCTATCAAGCAGGTGGTCCTAGTAGTAGTTGATGAAAGATGTTTGCAAAGCCCCTTCCACATACTAGCCCCTTATTTGATCATTCCAACAACACCTCCAGCCAGCAGAGAAACCAGACCAAGCTGGATTCTGACAGCAAAGGGGGTGGCTCAGCTCTCTAATGGTAGGGATTCCCATTGATGGAGCACCTAAACATTATGAGATGCTCCCCATGCACCATTTTACTGGCTCTATACCACAGCCCTTTCAGGTAGGTGGGGTATGATTACCCACATCTTACAGAGGAGTAAACTGAGGTTAAGAGCGGACAAATGTCTTGCTCAGAATCACACAGCTGGTGGAGGGTAGTACCAGGGGCTCAGATCCCTAGACTATGACTCCCCATTTTGCAGTAAAACCCACTGCCAGCCCAATGCTGCCCCATGAGCTCGCCCCAGGAGGAAGCTGGACACGAAGGAGAGAAAGGCCTCAGGACTGGGAATCACCAGCAGCAGGGCTGCTTTCCCTTCGTGCTCCCAGGGTGTGGAGGTAGGGGCACAGGATCTGCGCCCTGCTGAGGGCTGTGCTGGGAGCTGGGAGCATTTGCCCTCTCTTTGACTGGCAGCAGTCAACATCAGCCCTAAGGATGGCACTGCCCAGGGAGGGTGTGGGGATGGGAGCAGATCCCTCCACCCAAAGATCCCAGGGGCCTGCTGGCAAAACTGCCGAGATTTATATTATTATTGTCATCAACATCAACAGCAATTAACACTCTGTAGAGTTTTTAAAGTTTACGAAGCCCTTTCCACCATTGTCTCATTGGAGCCTGACGACAACCCTGTGAGGCAGCGCTGAGCACACAGCCTGGCACATAGTTGGCGCTTAAAAAATGTTTTTACTGAATGAATATTATCCCCATTTGCCAGATGAAGAAACTGAGGCTCAGAACACTTCCATGTGCACTGCGGTGTAGTATACATTTATGTCTCTGAAATTAGATATGTCCTTCGTATCTGCCTCCAAGTATTTCTTCTACTACTTAAAAACTGTGTGGGCAGTCACAGCCCTATCTTCTTTCATGGGAGTGCACGACTCTTTAATGAGCTTTTAATGTCAAGGTTGTCAAATTCAGCTTTCAGAATCAAAGCAGAATTCTGGCCATCAGGGAAAAGTACAAGTTCTTGAAATTAAATGAAATGCTAATGAGGACTTACATCACTGAACAGAAAAAAAAAACCCCTACTATTTTAAAAATCATCTTGTTCAAAATCATCTGACTGAGTATATATAACCAGTCAGACGCTCTGCAGGCGGTGGCCTGCAGTGGGCCTCTCCACCTCGCCTGCCTTCGCCATGGATTATGGATGGTTCCACGATGTAGGTCAGATGGGAATCAGATCCCTTCAGCTGCAGGAGAACGACCTAGCCAGTGCCCTGGGTGCTCGGCCTGCTCTATCACTCAAGCGAGACACTGGGCCAAGCACCGAGGCATCAGTTTCCTCGCCAGTAAAAAGGGGATGACTGCTGGGGGGACGGCAGGAGAGAGTGAAGGGGAAGGACTCAGAAGCTGGCAAGCGCCGTAGCAGTGGGACGGACGGAGATCTCCCTCTCCCAGACACTAACTGAACTCCTCATCGGCTTCTGGCGGGTAAGAGAAGCCTCCTGCCCAAAGCACCAAAGGAGAGGAGGAGCACGAGAGGAGCCCTGATCACCCCGAGGTGCAAAGGCCCTGGCACCCCCCCTTGGCGCTCAGAAGGCACGTGCCATGTACCTGGTTTCGTGCATCCGGGACTCGTCCATTCTAGAATCATCCCTATAATTTTCTGCTGTGAAATGAAGAAACTGCAGGTCACTTTGTTGTTTGACATATACCTGCACAGAGACATGGAAAGATTAGCCCGTTTTTTAATCTAAAGAATGCAATGACATCACTCCAATTTGACACTTGGCATGTCGAACACAACTTAATAAAGTACAAAGATTTCTCAGTGTGACACAGTCTCTAAACCTTGGAGCCAAGGCACAACTGCCAGGGCTAAACAGTAATGCACATTCTCTAAGCACAGGTAAATAGTCTGACTCTAGGGCATCTAGGTGGGGCAGTGGATAGAGCACTGGCCCTGAAGTCAGGGGGACCTGAGTTCAGATCCAGCCTCAGATCAAACACTTGACACTTACTAGCTGTGTGACCCTGGGCAAGTCACTTAACCCCAACTGCCTAAAAAAAATTAAAAATAAAATTAAAAATAAATAGTCTGACTCTAGAGTGTGCACAATCAGAGGAAGACTGGGGCCAAGCTTTATTTTATTTTTCTTTAAACTAGTCTCCCAGGCTTTGTTTCCAAAAATATCTTTTAATGCACATGCATACTCATACACAAAGAGATGGTGGGAGACAGCAACGTGGTCCCACTGAGGGCTTTGCACCTTTGGGTGTGCAGCTCTAGGACAGAAGGTGGGCCAGGCCTGCAGTGAGAGCAGTGGGCAGTGCTGCCAACGTGTCCTGGGAGGATGGGCACCAGCATCAGGTGGACCCTTGTGGAAGTGTGTGGACAAGAAGGTTCCTGTTAAGGTTGGGATCCTGACAGAAGGCAGAGAGAAGGGAAGCTGGGACATTCCCGTAGCTATTTGCAATTGTTACTTAACTGCCTGGGGTGCTAAAGGATGTCCAACTTGACAGATACCACATGAGAGCCAATCTGAGGAATGTTTTTGAAAGAGTGAGCACAAATCACACAGTTTGAAAGGGGCAAGTGAAAGGGAAGGTGGCAGGGCAGGCATGGGGAGACTCTTAGGGCTAACCCTGTTTAAAGAGAGTGAAAATAAGGGCATGAAATGGGGATCCTGCAAGCCCATTCTGCAGTGGGTACATGGAGGGTAGCTTCTAAAACCAAGAAGAGAAAGGGGATGCTGACTGTGGAGTGTAGACCTAAGAGGCTGCAGGCCCGGAGTCCTATATCAATCATCAAGGAACACTGTGAACATTTGGGGGCTACCATGATGACCAAGATGGAGGCAGCTGACTCCCACAATTCTGAGCCCCAAAGCAGTTGCTATATGGGAAAAGGAAGCACTTGGATAAAACCCAATGGACCTAGAGTGTGGAAAGGAGCAGATTTAGCAGATTTTAGACTCCTCCAATCGGAGGAGTGTCTACAGATATGTTTGTGTGGGGGTCTTTGCTGCATGAAGAGATTATGTATGTCTGTCTGGATGGAGAGAATACCTTCCACCCTGACATCACAGAGCTCAGACCCATAAAAAATATCAAAGGAGAATACAGAGACACATCCACCTAATAATTCCTTTGACAAAACTAGAGCCCAAATCATAATTAGATCCATACCTGTCTCAAATTATGCAGCTCAGTATCTGTTCGTTCTTGCTTTGATTTTGCGATATCAAGTAATTGTTCTTTTCTCTTTTCTCTCTCGACTGTTTGAAAACAAATAGGATTAAAATACTTCTGGCCAGCCATATCAAAAAAATCTTCTCATTTCCAGAAGTTCAGTTCTCAAGTTCAAGATTTCTCATTACTGAAAACCAGCCTGCCAACTCCACAAACAGGGCACTCCTTTTCGGCCTGCAATAGCTTAAAAATAACATGTGATGTTTCTTCTGCTGGCATTACACATCTCACACACAAAGTCTATTCTGTCTTTGCTAAAAGCCCAGGAGAACATTAAGGACCACGATTTGTTTTTCACCACGGACCTGGATCGTTAAGACACGAACTTTCTGCCACACAGCAATGACATATTCTGTTACTCTGTGAATACAGTCATATCAGGCGGAGCTGGTTTTCATTCAACACAAGGTTAAAATGGGAACGCTTCCCTCTTCCTGAAACCAGGCCACAGGCAGTCAGAGGGACCAACAACATGTTTCAGCATCTTGTAAATACAAGGAGCCTCGCATGCTCAAGGAGTGGTTCCCAGGACAGCGGCAGCATTATTACATCATCTTACGAGGAAAACCAATTCAAAATATGGACATGACAACCCAACGCTTCTTTGAGCTGAATAGTGGTTTGACTTGAGTTGTTGACTAGGAATTTGTCAGCAGTATTACACTAATGCATTGTAACATGTTAGACTTCACTTTTTTTATTAATGTACTTTGTTTCAACAAATCAATCCCTTTCTAATAAATAACCCGAAGTGCAGTCCAATTTTAAAACTATTAAGTAAACTCCCCTCCCCTGTCTTACTCTGATGCCTGCTGCTGGTGTGGAGGTGACTCCTGAAGCCAGCAGGGTGTGAACTCAGGCAGGTTCTGCCAGGCCGGAGGGGCTTTACGCGGGGCCCCACACCCGATCTGTTTTCTGAAGACTGGCTTAACTCCCTCCTCACAGAGAGGCTTGTTACCAGGACACTAGCCACCTGGGGATAGATACGTGACTTTGGGCCACGGAAACCCACTAAACCTAGAAAAAAAAAAAAAAACATGGCCCTAAGGCCTGGGAGGTCCATTCTGCTTATGTGGTGTCAGAAGAAGGGGTGCTGGAGGCTAAGAATCACACGGTTTTTAGACAATCCACAAATTGCAGCTCACTATTGGCACTACGACTGGGAAAATCTTCCCCAAATGTGTATGTGTAGCTAAATGAAGCCAATCGTGATGTTCTTGCTAGAAATGAAACCAGCAGATGAAAGTGAAGGAGGGCTACAAACAAAATAAAAATGAAAAAGATTTGCACGAGATCTTATAACAAGCTGCTTTCTTTATTAAACACAGCAGAATCACCACACCTGGACCCAACACGACAGTCTCTAAAGAGAACAAAACAAGGAAAACTAGCCAGAAGAGATGTGTACACGAGGCAACCCAGCTGGGAGGGCACTGAGGGACGAAGGCTTGGGGGAAATGTCAGACCTTACGAAAACAAAACAGGTGAACAGGTGAACAACGCTGATCGACAGACAAGCCTGACTCTCCCAATGATCTAACCAGAATCTCCCACACAGAAATCAAGAGCAACAACCAATCAGCAAGGACTTCTTAGTGTGCCTGGCAGTGTGCTCAGAGCCGGGGACATTAGTGCAAAGGCTGACCAATCCCTACCCAACGAGCTTAAAGTACATAGAGGAACATCTACAGCATAAATATGAAGTGAATACTCCCCCAAGAGAGTTAGGGAAGGAGGGCATCAGCAGGTGGAGAGATCAGGAAAGGCTTGATGCAGAATATGGCGCCTGAGCTGCGTCGGAAAGGAGGAGATGAGGTCGTTCATAGAGAATCAGCGATATTCAAGAATGGAGGACAGCTTTACATTTCACAATTAACTGGAAGACGTAGAGAATAGAAGAGCCCACTCACTTATTGTTTGTGGATGCCAAAAAAGTATCTGAGCCAACAGAACGTGTCTTCGAAGCTCTCTCTTCCGATGGCTCTCATCCACACAGTAGAGCCATTTAAGATGCCTTGGAAGGTGGAATCCTGTTTCACAACCCTCTGATAATAATCATTAGGCCAGGTCTAAGACCAGGAGATGTGCACTTGCCAAAGCTATCTGCCACTGTGATGGAGGAGATCCAGCTCAGAAGGCAGGATGTGTACGGCGTCATCCTCCACATGGTTATGGTTATCCGTGGGTGACTTTGTGCGGACTGTATGAAGTCCAAGGCATTGTCATGTTTCCTGGAAGGGATCCATTATCACTCAAAGAAGTCTGGTCTGTCCACAAAGGAAAGATCAAGTGGCGGAAAAGCACTCACTGTCTAAATTTCAACATGCATTTGGACGGACACCCATACAGAGCAGGGAGTATTAACCATCTTCGTGTCATAGATCCCCTTGACAGTCTAGTGAAGCCTATGCATTCCTCAGAATGATGCTTTTAAATGCATAACATAAAATACATAAGCTTACAAAGGAAACCGAGTATATTAGAATACAGTTATAAAAATAGAAAAAAAAGTTTGCAGTTCCCAGGTGTTGAAAGTGATTTCTCTTGGTAATCTGTGTACTGGAGACTCAGAGCTTCCCCCCTCCCACCCCTGCCAGCCTTCTGACCAAAGTTCTTCAGAAGGACATCTCTGATAATGAGATTGCATTGAATCTTCTTATTTTGGTCAAACTCCAACCCAGGCCTGAATTGATTTTATCCTACTCATGTTTGGGTGGAGACAGACTTTCAAGACTAGGGGTGGTATTTCCTTTGATGGAGGGCTATATTGGCCCTTGTGGACTGAGTGATCTAAGGAACCCACCCACCTCCTAGTATGTCGACTAATCATGGTTGATTGACACCTCCTTGAGAATACCTACTCTTCGAAAAGCATATAAGGCTGTACCCCCAAATCCCAAAAGTCCAGTTTTGGACTGAACTCCCATGCAATACATGTCAAGCCACCTTGAGAGAAATTAAACCATGGACATATGTACCCCAATTTCATTTGTCTCTTTCTTAGAGCAGACTGTGTTTCAAATTGGGGTTTGTGGGGTTCATGGGGTTTGTGGTTCACACAGGTAAAGAAACCCTGTTCTAGAGGCAGCTGGTAGTGTAGTGTACAGAGCACTGGGCCTAGAGTCAAGGAAGACCTGAGTTCAAATCCAGCCTCACATGGAGTGACTTGAGTGACACTGGGCAAGTCACTTAACCTGTTTGCCTCAGTTTCCTCATCTGCAAAATGGGAATAAGAACAACATTTCCCTCCCAGAATTGTTATGAGGATCAAATATGTATAAAGCATTTGGCATAGTACCCTGCATATAGTAGGTGCTTAACAAATGTTTGTCCCCTTCCCTTCACTCCTCCAAGAGCTTTTTCCTCAGTGCATCTGGGACAGACAGTACAGAAAGAAAGTAAGCTGAGCACATAGTAAAACAGAATAAGCTAGCTGTCTGCAAGAGCTCCTTTGAAGATCCCAAGTTTCCCATAAAAGGCCCATCTTTTCAATATTATCATTGCACTAGTGCTGCTCTATGGCAGCCAGGTAAGTAATATGACTACCTCCAAAGAGCTGAAAATGAGTCTCACACAGAAAGGACAATGGAGAGAGGGGCGAGAGGTGTGAGCAGCACACAAAACGTTATCAAAGGAGAATTCTTAAGAAGAATCAGGGTCAAAGATGTCATCAAAGAGCTGACTGGTGAGAACACAATGTGGGCTCATCCTGTGACCAGACGGAGGGAAGCCAGACAGCTTTGCTGCTATACTGACAATGTCAAGGGAGGATGAGGAAGGCCCCTGGCATGTTGGATGGATCAAAGATCTGCCTGAATACCTGAGTAAACCAAAACTCTCCCAGACAGGTGAACTTTGATGAGATGATGGAAGTAGAAACTGAAATAGTGTCTGAGGCATTCCAGGCATGGTACAGACATCTAAATCATCCTTAGATCGATATGTTAAAAAAAATTCAAAACACAAGCTTAATATTTTTGATGATGTGACTTTCTGAAAGACTCTAAGGTAATGATATCTGTGGTCTTCTTCTAAGACCTTACATGTTACCTTTCTCCTTTATGAAGCATAAACAATTTTTATCTGGGAAAAGATCCACAGATTCCCTATAATGCTACGATATTGATTATTTGGAACGCCACAAAGGTATTGTTATATTATTATTGTTATATTATATTATATGTTATATTATATGTTATATTATATTATTGTTATATTATACAAAAACAATAAATATTATACAATATATATTGTATATATACATATATACAATAAATATTATACAATAAATATTATATTATACAGATTATATATTGTAAAAACAAATATTATAGGAAATTATATAAAAAATTATACAAAAACAAAAAAAACTATACATCCACTTGGCCAGCCAATCTGCAAAAACATGCCGCTAGTCACATGGAGGCCAGAGAAAGACATGTGATGAATCAAGTTCATCTCATGAAAACATTGATCTAGAACTGGGAGGAATCTCAGAGGTCAATTAGTTCAATCTCTTCATTTTAAAGATGAAGAAACTCCCTTTGACGCAGCAATAGCACTTCTAGGGCTGTATCCCAAAGAGATCATACAAACGGGAAAAGGGCAGCTCTTTTTGTGGTGGCAAAGAATTGGAAATTGAGAGGATGCCCATCAATTGGGGAATGGCTGAGCAAGTTGTGGTATATGAATGTGATGGAATACTATTGTGCTATAAGAAATTATGCACAGGCTGACTTCAGAAAAACCTAGAAAGATTTGTATGGTCTGACGCTGAGTGAAGTGAGCAGAACCAGGAGAACATTGTACACAGTAACAGCCACGCTGTGCGATGACTAACGTTGACAGACTTAGCCCTTCTCAGCAATACAAGGATCTAAGACATCTCCAAAGGCCTCGTGATGGAAAATGCTATCCACATCCAAAGAAAGAACCATGGAGTCTGAATGCAGATCGAAGCATACTCTTTGCTATTTTTTTTCCCTCTGTTTTGTTTTGTTTCTTCTTTCTTATGGTTCCTCCTATT